ACAACTTCTAGCAGTAGATGCAGACATGAGCAATTCGTAATGCTAAATAACTGAGGTGCAGTGAGAGGCATGTAAGACTCGAGTGTCTTCAACGAGGAACTGCAAGATGAATAATGCTCCAATAGCTGCTTAATTACAAGAGCGTGTCAGTCACCAGATGATATCTAGGCTGAATTTAAGGTCTGAATCTTTTCAGATGAAATATTATCTGGATATCATAAGGATGACAATGAGGGATATGTGTGTTGATGGCTCACTGGAGTTAAAAAAAGAAAGACTGAGTGTAATGGTTTGGAAATACAAAGTCTAAAATACTATGTATTGGTTTTGGTGCATGCAATGAGACATTTCTAAGTGTTTTAAAACTAATCTCTCTTTTTTTTTTTTTTTGTGAAAGAGATATTTGAAGAAAAATGGGGGGTAGTACAGCTTTGTGTGGTTACCTGAGCAGATATAACCTGCAAACATAACTATGCCTTGTGAGAGCCTCTTTGTACTCTCAAGTAGTTCTGATGCAGTATTTGCCTTTGTAATAATTTGCAGGGTGAGGCCCCGAGGCTGTTTATATTATTATCCAGGATTAATACTGTATTAATGTGTCTGCCTAGTTTGTATATTGTAATCATGACTTAAACATAGCTCCTTGCTGGGCAGAGTGAGGCAGCAGGTGGGAGGCTTGCAGTGCAGCTGAGGGGGTGACCAGGGAGACATGTCTGGTACTGTGGCACCTTCCAGAGGTTTCATCAAACACCAAAACCCATGGCAGGGCTGCTCTGTGAGCTCAAAAGTTAGTTCCACTTAAGTGAGAGCTAAAGGAGGCAGCTCTTGGGGTGACTTGGGCAGGAAGCATCTTGTAGCAGGCATGTAACACCACCATGAAGTGTTCGTTACAGTTGCTTTGGTCAAGAGTTGGTAATAAGAGTTCATGATGGTCTGAAAGGTCTCCAAGGTCTGAAAGACTAGGCACAGCCTATTGCAACATGGCTGGAGCAAGGATGTGGTTGGGCATTGCAGTGGGGAGTTCTGCTCTGGGGGGACAGCCTGCATGCAAAGTATTGGTCCATCCATGAGTTAATTTGGTTAATACTGTGTATTTATGATTTGTGCAGCTGCTGAGGTCAGGAGGGATTTTCTCATGACTTTTTGGGATGTTTGATGGAGCCTGATGCTTTTGTCTGTGTGGTAGTGAAAGTGAAGAACTTTATTCCATGTCGCTGTTTAGGCAGCAGCATCGTTGTGTGTCACATTGTAGTGTAGCTCCTCATGGGTTCCTTCAGGTGGGGGGCACTGGCCTGTAACTGGTTACACATATTTTATTCAGGGTAATATGGTGTATTACTGCAGTGGTATGTAAGCTGTTACTTGTAATCCTGTACTGTGTACAAAGAGGTAACCTAGACGATTATTTCTGATTGTGATTTGGGTGATGTCGGTAGTTCAGCTTCATCCACTCTGACTTAACTTTCAGAACAGCTATAATCTTGTCTCCTTTTGCTTTTTGTAGTGCACAGATTTAACCACTTGTTAGAATGGAGTAAAGATTTGTTGAAAGGTTAGAGCCTCTTCAAGGCTGGCATAAACAAAATCTAGTTTCATACTTAATGCAGTAATCTAGAGGATGGTGTCAATGACGGTGTAACTGAAATAATTTTTACATGAAAATCTTTAGAAATAAAACTTCACTCGGAGGTTATTGATTTGATTACAATCACGTTATCTTCTTCCTTGCTTTGGTTGTGTGCAAATCTTGGACAAAGGGTGCAGTGGGGTTTTTTTTCCACTTGCTGTGAATTCATTCTGTTCAAGCTGCAGTATAAATGGATAGGATGCTTTTGCACCATCCCTTGGCCAAAAAAACAGTGAGTATGATTCAAAGCTGCTGAGAGAAAGAAGATGGTGTTAACTTGTCCAGGGTTTAAATGTACCTGTCCCTGGGACAAAAGGGCCTGGCAATCACATGACATCAGTCACCCTGCAGAGCAGAATAGGGCAATGTCATTGTCCATTACAGCTGATACCAATTCGACTTTGAATTTAAATGTGCCAGCAAAAGAGGCTAAAGACAGGCACACTTCTGTTGCCTGCTACACCTGTCTCCATATTTATGGAGTTCAGACTCTACTGGCTTTTTACTTGGTACCTTCTTGCATTGGGTATTTGTTCCTTTGAATACAGTGCAGCAGTTTTCCATGCCACTCTTTGTAGCCCGAGGGAAAGCAGACATGTGGACTAGTTAAAGATAATGTTGCCTTGGTGCATTTTTCCGTAACAGTAGGTAGTGAGTTGTCTATGTTAGTCAAAAGTAGTTGGGCAGTTGTGATTTTGCCATGCACAGGCTCAGGCTGGCTGGTTGTTATGCCAGTGTTTGTTGCAGGGTTTTGTTAGTAGTTGGGTTTTTTTTTTTCAATCTACAGCTCTCTCTTACCAGAAAATGGAAATCATAACTTTACTGATCTGATTTCTTATTCATTGCCATCTCCTCAGTATGCCAGTATGGTATTGCACACATTATTAGTGGAAGAAAAATTAAAAAGTGCAGGAGCAGAATAATATGAAAGGCTGGAAGGAGAACTGCTGTTGAAGTTGCTTCTGGACTGACTCTGGTCAGCTGGCACAAGTGGGCCATGCATATCCCCTTTTTCTTCTCCAGCAGGAGGCCAGAGTCTCAGCCTTTTGGATCCAACATGTCCTTTCTTCTTGCTGAGATTCAAATACCCAGAAATTGTGAAACTTCCTTCATAAAGCTACAGTCCTCCTGTACCCCTAACTTACCACCTTACTCAGAGCTTGTACATGTCCATCAGCTTTCAGAGATCATGCTTCAATTTTGTTTTCTAATATACAAGTTTAAAGGAAGAAAGTACTGTCCACTGGAAATCCAGACAGAATCAAAAAGCTAATGTAGGTTCTCATATTTTATCTGTTGTCTCTTGTTCATTGTTTCTTGTATCTCTGTTCATACATTCCTGTTTCTAAAATCTTTCTCTTTCCTGTTGCTATGGTAAAAGCCTGCCTAAAAAAGAAGATTTATAGCAGCAAGATACACTGACCTACAAAATAATCACAACATAGCTTCTTTGCTCTGCTTTTAAAGCAACTGATAGAAAATCTGTAGTGGGAAAAGGGAGATGACCAAAGTATAGGGACCATGTACATGGATCTGGACTTAGGGAAAACTCCAGCTTATAGACAGATTTGCTGCTTCTGATCAGTGAATCTGTACAACTGGTTTTCGATATGCAGGAATTTTCATGAATGCAGTATTAAAAAGTGATGGACACTCAAAAAAGTGGTCTTGGGGTTTTGCTTCTGTTGTTAACCTTCCCTCTCTGATATGTTTTTCTCCTCTGTGCATATGAATGTCATTGATACAGTGTTGTATTACAGCAGCTCATCCTTGCTGGAGGCATAGTTTCTTTTCCAGCAAACTGATTTGAATTAAAGTGAAAACCAAACCATGAATTTTTTGGTTCAGCTCCCAGACTATAAAAATGGATGGTCTCCCTTGGCTTAACAGTTTTCTGTGCTCATACTACCTTATTTCAGTATACACATTTGAATCCCAGCAGAGTGGATCCCTGCCTTCATACCTGCCTAAAGATCAGTAAGGATGCATCAAATCCTAGTTGCATCAGATCATTTTTTGCAATATTATTAGTATTTACTGTTTTACAGTTCCCTGTGATAGCAGTGTTTTTTAGAATGCTCTTCTATTTCAAACCATGCTGTGGGCATCTAAGATTTCCAACATATTCTTGCCCACAGCATGATTACATCATTGAGAGTCAAGTAAAAGTTCACAACAATTTTACATTTACATGGGCGTCACTTCTGGCTGTTTTGCTAATGATAAGTCCTCGTTACAGCATTAAACTGTCTAAAAAATACATACATAAATTTTGTTCACAAAATGTTTACTCATATGTTTGCTTCACAATATTGGATTACACTGTGCCTGGGCAGCTGATGAAACTGTAATGAACTCTAAAGAACCAGGCAGATGTTTTTAGACTAAGTGTACTCAGAATGTGATTAACTGCGTAGCACTCAAGAAATAAAAGTGCTAAAAAAAAAAAAAACAAAAAAAACCCCAAAAAACCACAGACAAAATAATGCAAAAAAACCTACCACATAGTAATTGTGCATATGGTAAACAGTGGTAAGAAGTCTGGAGGCTTTTCTCTGTTACTCTAGGGGAGAACTGTGAGGATATATTCTCTTCAGAATTGTCTGAATTTTATTTTTTTTTATGTTAAAAATTATACCACAGTCTCTGGAACCTTGCACAAATTTCCAAATAGCTATCTCTTAACATAAATACACTTTTTCCTCTATATTTGCTGTAAAATATTGGTGAATGCATGTATAGTACACCAGTTCCCTCTCCGGCAGAGAGGTAACAGATATGGAAGCTCACCTGGGCACAGTTATAGTGGATAATACCAGACTATGGTATGGTATGGTATGGTATTATCTACCACATGTGGTATGTGGTATGTACCACTTGTTTCCATTGGTGTATGTGATGATACCAACCAACATGTTCCACCTGGTGCTAAGCAGGCTGATCCTGGCCCAAAGGGTGCTTGTTTATCCTGCCATTTATCAGGGCAGTGTAAAGACCTGCTGCTCAAATGGTTCCACACTACCTTCTGCATGGAGATCACTTCAAGCCAAGTCTCATGTTAATGCCAGAGGCCAGGAAGAGGATGGGAGAGGAAGGTGGAGGCAGGTCTTCTCTTCACATGAGTCTAGCAGTCCTGAGCCCCTGCCATAGCCATGTGTGAGACAGACAGTGGGTAGGAGGATGCTGGGCATACACGTGTGCTGGCAGAAGTGAGAGCTGCCCCTGCTGCATCCTACCACAGGACCTGAAATCCAGGTCTAGTTGGTGTAGCCATGAGGCTGAAGTACACTGGAGTGTTTGTAATTTTGGTTGGTTACACTCTGTTCTCATTTGCTTTCACTGACCTGAGTTGGGTATGTGTTTCTTTCATTAGAGATCCGAGCTCAACTTGTTGAGCAGCAGAAATGTCTGGAGCAGCAGACTGAAATGAGAGTGCAACTTCTTCAAGATCTGCAAGATTTCTTCCGCAAGAAGTCTGAAATAGAGATGGAGTATTCCCGAAACCTGGAAAAACTGGCAGAGAGGTTCATGGCAAAGACAAGAAGTACAAAGGATCATCAGCAGTACAAGTAAGAGATTTCCTTCCCACTAGCCCCCATATTAGCCTTTGTTGGAGTGTTCTATGGTTCTGGCTGGTTTTGAGTACTGCTAGGTTAAGCCCAGCATCAAAGGCCTATTTCAAATTGCCACCCCTATTTAGAAGGTAACAGTTCTCATTGCAGTTGGAGGTGGATGAGTGCCTAAATACTGTTGTTGATTTGGCCCTCTGCAGTTATTTGTTTAAGCTTCTGACAGGTGGTGTCAGTTTCTTAAAAGGTAAGTTGCACAGATATTATCCATAATATACCATATGGATTTTAAACTATCCAAAATGCAGCCAGTATCTAGAAGAAATGCAGAGCCCCCAAAGGGTTTGAGAGCTGTGTGCTGATCTGTACTGAAGCTGATAGGATTTTAAAGTGTCTAAATGAAGGTCAATCAATATTACAGCAAAAAAAAAAAGACTACTTTGGCCAAAAAAAGGCATTTTGATAGAAAAGTATTTTGATTTGTTGTTGCATGTGAACTTTGCTGCTTCTTGACCCCTCTGATTCACAGAAATTAAGATGATATTAATGTTATGCCTTGCTTACAATTTAATGTATCCTTTTCATGGCATAGTATCTTTTGTGCAAAACAGAAGTGGTCATGTAGTATCTGGCAAAACCTGCGTACAGTGTGTTTTCTGAAGTGTTTCAAGTGCATCATTTGCTGACATAGCCTCATCTGGTAATTTTCCTGACTTGAGCTGATTAATGAATGTCTTTGTCTGGACCTGTTATACTTGGGGTATAAAACAGTATTTTCTGTTTGTAAAACTGAAAAATAAGTACCTTTTTTTCACTGTTCACGCAGCGCTGTGCTATAGATAAGACAGGTAGAGCTGTTGTTTCTTTTCCAAACACATCTGGCAAAGGAAAGGTTAAACCAGATGTAGCTTATACAGTTCAAGGAGAAGTAATATATATTTCTTAAAATTCATTTAAGTGACTCAGTGATTCTCTGAAATAACCAGCGTGTGCATATGTCACCATTTCAGAGAGAGCCGTGGCTTTTATTCTGCTAGTGTCAAAATGTTTTTGCCTTGTACATACAAACATCTTTCCTTGTTTTTAAACATGTTAAATCCAGACTGGCAGTTGTGCATGAGGGTTACGACTGGAGTCCTGCCCTTGGCTTTGTTCTGCAGTTCTCTGTTTTGAGAAGAGGTTACTGCAAAAGTCACTTTAACTGTTGGTCCCCTGTGCTGTTCCCACTATTGCCCCCAGAACAGACAGGAAGGTGTGTGGAATTGGCTTTGGGACACCCAGAAGCAGTGAGGACCAAGTAATATCAGCATGGCCCTTCAGGGGTGTTGGCTGACCTGGCTGATAAAACCCTGAAGCTCCTTCCTGTGAGTAACACTGTTGAGATGTCCATCTCAAACAAAATGGAGAAGTTTCCTTTAGTCATTTCTGATTCATAGCAAAGCAAAGCATAGATAATTAAGAAAAGGCTTTTGTCTGTTATTCAGTCCTTGTTTTGATTCTGAGGGTGAAGTTAAAAGTAAACAATTAGATGGGACTTAAAGGACATATTTCTAACAGTGAGAATAGTTAATTATGAAAACACTTTCCTGTGACCTGGAGTTTCTCCCTCTCACCTCTGCCTGTTTTAGCTTCACATGCTTGATTCTTTTGACTTTTGCCTAACCCAAGCTATTCCAAGAATGGATTGACTGATTGTTCAGAAGCAGCTATTTTTGCATAACAAGTTATGAGCGTAAATGTCGGTAAGATGTTTGTGTTAATAATGTAACTTTTTCATTTCTATACATAATACATGTGTGGTATCTCCTTCCTTAGGAAAGATCAGAACCTCTTGTCACCAGTGAATTGCTGGTACTTACTCCTGAACCAAGTGAGAAGAGAAAGCAAAGACCATGCAACACTGAGTGATATCTACCTGAACAATGTGATCATGCGGTTCATGCAGATAAGTGAAGACTCCACCAGAATGTTCAAGAAGGTAATGCCTCTCCTGCAGTCTTCCATCCGGGCTTGTGTGTGCATGAGGGAGGCAAAAGTGTCCTAATAGGTAGCATTTGAGGGGAAGATTCAGCACACATAGCATAAAATCTGTTTTAGCACACATATAAATTCTTCATGACTGTTTTCACAAAGGAAATCCTTAGTGCTGAAATGCCTGGGATCTGGCTGTATATGCTGGTGACCTGAAGAGCTGAATTACAAATATCCAAAAGGCAGGGTAAAAAGCCTGTCCTTCTCTCAAAAGTGCATCTGTCTACCCATGCAGAAAGGAAACAGATTTCACTTAGGACTCCCAAAATAGTAATGCTGTATTAATGAATTATTTGTAAAAACACTATTTCATTATAAGTGAAACAGATTCAGGCCAAAGCAAGGGTTTGCCTTGTAGTGCCTTGGCATAAAGATGGTAGCATAGGCTGTGATTCTCCTAAAAGAGTTTCCTTTCCTTCTCAGTATTAAATATGAACATACACTTTTGATAACATAACTATTTCTATTAGATAATTTAAACAATGTCTGTGTACATGTTGGCCTTGTCCTTGCCCGTTAAGTGTTTTCATAACACATACAATGTGTAAATCCCTTTTGTGCTAAGCAAGCACTCTAGGCAGCCTCAGCTCAAGATCTACCATACTGTGTTTGCAGTCATTGTTATAACATTACTAAAGAAAAATAGATTATAAATGCATATCTGTTAGTTACAGTGGGATGCTGGTAGGCAAGTATCGTACAAGAGTTCAAAAAGAATAAACATTTAAAAATGTGCAGTGTGTGGCTAAACAATACCAAAGGATACCAAGGTAATGTTTTCAAAATGGGGAACTGGTATCACATATACCTGACTATAATCCTAGATAGATAGCAGTGGAGTGGGGAGAAGAATCATTGAGGGAGCACATGGGTTGTACTTGGAAAAAAGTGAAAACATAAGTCAAACTTACTGGTGTGCATTAATGCCTGTAACAATAACGGAGTTCATAATTTCCCAATCAGTAGTGGTCTGTTCATATATGTCTGATACATAAAACTGTAATTCACTAACTACTAAACTTAGTAATATGGAAGATTATTTCAGAAGTTGAACAGATAATGGGAAAAGCAATTTGAATGTGCTGCAGTACTGTCTATGTGGAGATATCTCAGAGATGCAAACCAGGAGAAAGTTTTTGGTATTGCATCTGGAATAGATTTTCAGTTGTTAATCTCCTGTCTCAGAAATATCTTCTTCGCTAGGTGTTAGACTAACTTGTTTGCTTTCAGCATAGTTCTTTGGCACTGGAAATCTTGCTTTTCCTTCTCTCCAGATGGACTGTACAAAGGTATACAGATAAAGTTTTCTGTGGAGAAGTGTATCTCCTTTTATATTCACGCATAACTTATTAGTGGAGACTGCTGCAGCTTATCTCTCAAAAGGAGGAAAATATGTGGACATTTTCAGTGTATTAGCAGGAGGCATATTGTCCCATCTCCCTGACAGACTCATCTCTTTCCTCCCCTGTTGTGCCCAGGAAGGTGCAACATTTCAAATTTTCTTTCTTTACATAGCTTCTTGAATAAGAGCAAGCAGCTGCTCTTCCTTTTTACTCATGACTTGGATCTTCTACAGGGGAAAGAAGAGAAAGGAAATTGAGGTAGTCCTGCCATGCATAACCTGGAGCTTACATTAGTGGAGCCCAGATCCTCAGCAGCCTTTTCCTGTCTTTCACCAGGGTTTGCCAGCTGACAATTAGCGCAGTGGTGTCATGTCAAACAGCTGTTAGCTGAGGTGGAGCGTGAAAACAGCGATCTAACCAAAGGCTGTGTGAAGAGATCTGAGCCAGGCTGGTAATGTGAGGGGAAAGGTGGCAGGAAGACACACAGCACCTCGGCATGGTGTGAGCAAGCTTCATGGGTGTGTGACCTGAATGTGGCAGTGGTTGTGCACCAGTGTCAATTCTGAGAACACATTCTTAGGACAGTCTGTCAGGATCAGTACATGTTGGAGAAGGTTGGTATTTACAGAGTCCTAGTGCCCATGGTTCTTGCTATGATGCTTGCTGCAGAGTGCTGGTCATTTATTTGCTGTTAGTTCCCAGGTGCAGAACTGATGATGAAGCTCTTTCAACCCAAATCCTCCTATAAGTCTGTGATCATTTCTGTCAGATGTGAGTGAACAGTCTAACATAAGGTGCTCTACGGAACTGCTTAGTGGATGTTCACCAGGCAACGAAGAGATCAGATGCAAAATACATGTGTTCCGTGCTACAGTTCTCTTTGCAGGAAAGAGGTCACAGAAGCAAAGACAAAGTACACTTAGGTGCAAAGGTGGCACCAACAGTGACCTCCATCAAAATTGTATGCTCCCTAAAGAAAATGGCATAGAATTTGTTGGAATGAAACGTAGTGATGATGGTGTCTGTGCTTCTTAGTCTTTGTACCTAATACTTGACTCACTCTCTGTTCTTCCTCATTCTGGGTCTTGCTTTCATGTGCATCTATACATCTGTCTCAATATTTGGATTGCTTTGGGGAGGTGATCTCTATTGGTTCTACCTGACATGTTCTGATGGGCCAGGATATATTGTATTCAGGTACCTGATTGTACATTGCTTTGCTGTCTAGTCGGGCCTGCTTAACATGTAGATAGTCATTATTCTTGTTCTCCCAGGAGCTATTTGTCATTCTTTTTTCCAGGGGTCAGGAACCAGCATCTGTTTAAATGCACTAAATGCAAGGCAAAGATAGGATCTAGATCAGAGATATTGTGGTGTTTATCTGAAGACATTGTGTCAGGCCTTATACTTTCAGATGAGCACTTAGGCACTTCTTTTTAGCTGCTGGCATGTGAAAGCAGTACATTGTTGTTCATGCCTGGCCTTCATGCTGCACATAAAATTACAAGCATAAAGTAGCAGAGTTCAAACCTTGCATGCTAGTGTGTTTCTTCAGGCGGATGGGGTAGCTGTCCTCACGGGGACAATTAAAGAATAAAGTAATAAGCAAAAATGTCATGCAGAAGGGAAAAGTATTATGCAGAACATTTCATGCAGTGATTCTGGCTACCCTGGCATTAATAATCAACTATATAAACACATACCCACAAAATCCTTAGGCAGACTTGTATATTTATAATTTACGAACATGTATTTTCTTTGGACAGAAGTCTAAATGAGCCAAGATGAACATATCTTCCAATGTTTACAGTAGAAGATGCTGGCGAAGCCAAGCATAATAAATATTTTAGTTCCATAATCTGGCTATTAACAAGGAATATGACTACTTGCTAAATCTATTTGATGTTATAAAGATTATGGCATATAAGAGAGATTATTTGCATCATTTTCTTAAACATTTAAATGTTGAAAAGGGTAGTGAAGCTGTTTGTTGCTATAGACTGGCAAATCTGGGACAAAATCTTGCTATATGTTGGTTATGTCAATGTCACCACAGCTCAAGAAAACTCCTTAAAAGAAAAGTTTGTGCTTCACTTCCCCCAGGACCAGCCGCAGACTCATTTAAAAGCAATAGTCACAGAATATTTTCCCTAAATGATGTAACTGAGAGTAGCATTGTGTGTGCTAAATACAGACACTAAAGAGATCCAGGAAGAACTGAACTGACTCTTAAATTTCAGTTAAAATAAACATGAGTAAAGTTTGGGTGCAAAATTATTCTCTAAGTGAAATGCTTACAGAATTCAATGAAAATTTATTAATATGGAGTAACATTTCAAGCTTCTTAGACGCTAATCCATAAATATAAGTCTTGATAACATGAGTAGTACCAACGATGTGTTGAAAGTTGACCACATACTGAAAATGGGGGTTAGGTACACCTACTTGTCTGTTGCTGATCTGTCCTACTATCAGGTGAAAAAAATATACTACTGTCTCTTAATGCCTTGAACCAGATTAGTAGCATATAGAATATTTTTAGCAAGAGTTTTTTATTATGTTATTTTGGTTAATAGGTGCTAATACATTGCTCTACGACACAGTGAATAAAAAAGCACCTCAGTGATTGTTTGTCAGGTTTTAATAGCCTGAGTAGAGCTATCAACTCAGCTCCAGGAAGGTGTGTGCTGCATCTTACATTCTGTTGTTTGGCTGCCCCGAGGGTAGGCTCCTAGAGGAGCACACCATTCACACATGCTGAACTACTGCAGGGAATAGGTAGCATAAAAAAGAGACAGGAGAGCCATTAACCACTGAAAATAAATGCACTTCTTATAGGGTACACTAAAAGCAGTATGGCTTGCCACTCATGCCAGTATTTCTTGATTTTAAATGCTAATGTAAATTGTGTGCTTCTCAAAAATAAATCCCTTCTATACTGCTAATTTCCTAATTACTACAAAATCTTTCATCAGAAAGATACATCAACTGACATGTTATCCATCACTACAGGCACTCTGCAGGTTGAGTCCACAGACAACTGCTGGAAGGATGACTCATCTGTGATTGTGCGGCATTGCTAGGCTGTCTCTTCCTAATTTTCAGTCTTTTTTTGCTGATCACCTGCCTCCTTCTCTTTTTGCTTCCCATTTTAAAGCCTGCTGTCCTTTCCTAAAAACATCTCCCTTTTTCTCTATTGTGATCTTTTCCATTCACTTACAAATTTACCATTGATCGCTGTGTTGCCCTGGTCCATCCATCAAATCCATGTCCCTCCAATTTAGGGACAAGGATGTTGTGCAGGACGGTGTCAAATGCCTTGCATAAGT